GTAAATTGAATCACATGACTGATGTGCAATAAAAAAAAAACAGTGACAACTACATGAGGTCATATAATGACAATGTGACCTGATTAAACCAGATTGTTTACCTGCCAACTGCGGGTTAAGCATGCCAAACTCCTACTTTTCCTGTATGGCTTGTTGCAACAAGCTGACTGCCAATGAAAAATAGTGAATCGACCCTCACACCCAGGTCAAATGTGCCTGAAAGAGACAACACTGATACCATAATTACCAGGGGTGGCGCCAGGATTTGCCCGACGGGGGTGGGCGGTGCCCCCGACGAGGTGTCAGATTTCCCCAACGAAAGCAAAGTGGGCTTGGATTAAAAGGCTCAAAAAGTGGTCCTGGGGAAGAAGCCCCCGAAAATTTCGACAATTTAGGGGTTTTAAAGGCTTATTTAATCGATTTTAGAGTCTACTAATATGTAAAAAATACATATAATATTGTTTTCTCCCTGACGAATTGTGCTTTTTCTCCCCGACGGGGGGAGGGGGAAGCTCTCCCGACGGGGAGGCACCCCCGCTGGCGCCACCCCTGCTAATTTGTAGGCCTAATTGAAATGATTCAGAGAATTTCAAATTCGTTTGTGCAATGACCAGTATTAGCATATCAAGGTGCTGGTTAACACTACCTTCCATGTGTTTTTCCATTCCTACTTGCGCACCCTGTAAAACACATATAAAGTGATACGAATTTTAAATCAGATTTTGGTTCGTTGGATTTTACAGTGTGTGAAAGTTTGTTAAATACTAATAATGTTTTGTATGGAAAATACTACGGCTTAGTAGGAGGAGGCCTCGGCGGCCTCCTGTCTCAACGTAGGCCTACATCCAAATCTGTTCGGAGTCTTTAAAATAGGTCTAGAATAGGCCTATTCCTATTAAACGTTCCGTTTGTTTTGTTTATGAGAGTTTAATATTGAATTTGAAGTAGCTTTCTACGGGTCCTCATTAAGCTTGTTTTACGAAAGTAATTAATTAGTGGACGGTGGAGAGTAGGCAAATAACATTGGGAGTTGCAGTGATGACGTGATGTATTGTACCACCATTTCTCCTTTTTATTGTGTTTATTGTGTTTGTTTCATTTTTACTGCTTGAGTCTAATTAGTCGCTGTTACGACGGTGTTTGTTGTTGTATTTTGAATTTTGGTACTTTCCAACGATTTGTTCTATCTATTTGTTTGAAGTCCGTTAGCTAGCCCCGATCTGCCTATAGGAAAAGAATTCTTTCGTCACACCGAGAGGCTGAGCTCCGCCAACAACTCATTTGCATACGGAATTCGTATGCCGTGCGAGAATATTTTTAGCGTCACTACCTCTTAATTCGACGGTGCTCCCGTGCTGCAGTGATCAGTGAAATAATGTGCTTTTCGAGACAGGTACCGTTTGTGAATAAAAGGAGTTGTTATCCGAAACCAGGTAAATAATTTTTCTTAATTGCTAATGAATTAAATATCGCTCGTACCAAACCTAGAGGGTGTCGTGCAGGCAAATATAAACGAAGGTTAATACCTGTTAGGATTACAACACGAAAGACGGCGAGATACAATTTTACTAACAGGCAATCAACACTTGTTGAAGTAAAAATAACCAAATCTCACATACATAATAGGAAACGAAATCTATCTTTCTTCCTAAAATTGTTGCCACTAACGCATGTTCAATTCTGAACAAATTTGATGAACTGGATTTGCTTCTTAATAATTACAATATCGACATAGCTGTTATAACGGAATCGTGGATAACCCCACAAACGGCACCTGAATTGTATAATGTTAACTCTTTTAACTCATTCAAAATGTGTAGACAGCACAAACGAGGCGGAGGTGTCATAATCTATGTTAAGGATAACATTTAAGGCCGAAGTTATGAAAGACATCGTCGTTCCAGCTGACTTTGAAATCTTATGAATTATGTTGTCTCATCCGAAATTTAAACGAGCTGTCCCGTACTTGATCGTAGCAGCTGTATATACCACCGGACTCGCTAATCCGTGATTTGTATATTGATCATCTTACAGGTAGCATTGACTTTTTCAATACTCATAAGAAACAAGCTGGACTCATGATTATTGGTGATTTTAACCGCACGGACACTAGGTCACTACTTCTAGGCACTGGTTTAAAGCAGATCATTAATTCCCCAATTACGAGAGAACAAGTTATACTTGAACTTGTTGTTACCAACATGTCTGAATTGTATCTTGGGCCACATTATTTATCCGTTATGGGTCGCAGTGATCATTGTGTTATATCATTGCAAACAAAGGTGAGGATCCCTATTAACAGAATGGTTATTAAAACTATCCAACCCATTACGGATTCCAAGCTCAATGAGTTTGGGCGTTGGATACAAACCCAGACATGGTCCGATATTTTTGATGCAGTTAACATTCAATTAAAAGCCGATACGTTTTAAAAATTTATGAATGATGCAATCCAAGTATATTTCCCATCTAAAATAATTAAGATCCACTGTAATGATAAGTCATGGATGACAGGCCATATTAGGGATCTTTTTTACGAAAGGCAATTAGCATATGAAACGGGAGACGATACCATGAGAAAGAAAATTCGTAACCTTATTAAGAGAAATTAGGAAAGCCAAAATTAATGAGATCGAAAACAAAGTTCGTTATCCCCAACGGGTGGACCTTGGAAAGTAGCACAAACAAGTCAAACGTTTAACAAACAATACCAAAAAGAACATGATAATTGATGTGCCTGGAGTCGACACGGGCGATTACTTTGCTGTTGCAAATTGCAAAAATAAATTTCTCGCTAAGCATTCTCAAAAACATCAAGCAATCGATACTAACTTTCTTCCTGCTTACTTGCCAAGCCATGTGCCTCCTCCCCAATTTCACCCCTGGGAGATCTATGACGATTTGAAGAGGGTGTCTGTTTCAAAGGCAGAAAAAAATTGCGGAATACAATTGCAATAAAAAAAACTCACAATATACGTTTATTTGGGACTAAATACAACGCAGTAAGCCACCGAGTTTTAAAATTATAAACACAAGTATTTGTAAAACTTTATTATGACCTTGACCTCGTAGTACCATACACAGCGCAATAAAAAAAATGTCACAATATACGTTTATTTGGGACTAAATACAACGCAGTAAGCCACCGAGTTTTAAAATTATTATCACAAGTATTTGTAAAACTTGTACATGACCATGACCTCGTAGTACCATGCACGAGCGCAATAAACGACGACGACGACGACGACGACGACGACAACGACAACAACAACAACAACGTTACTCCAGGCGCATAAAAAAAAACTCTCACAACGTACGTTTATTTGGGACTAAATACAACGCAGTAAGCCACCGAATTTTAAAATTCGAATTCTAATTAAACTGTAAAAGTAAAACTTGTTTATTACCTTGACCTTGTAGTATCATCCACGCGTACAAGAAAAGAAAATCTCACATTTGTTGATTTGGCATTACGTACGACGTAACGTAGTAAGTCACCGAGTTAGAAAATTATAATACAAATTATTAGTAAAACTTGTATATGACCTTGACCTTGTAGTATTAGTCATCCATAATATGCAACATTCTACAATATGTTTTTTTATATCCATTAAAAGTTATAAAATAGTTGAATGAAACAAGTTATTACAAAGTGCGACAGACTTTATTACAAAGTGCGACAGCTTTGCGTATTATAAAGTATGACAGGCAGCTATCAAAAAGTGCGACAGCTTGATTATTACAAAGTGCGACAACAGCTATTACAAAGTGCGACAGGTTATTACAGAGTGTGACAGATGTGTTACAAAGTTGCGACATGGTATTACAAAGTCCGACGATTATTACAAAGTGCGACAGTACATACGATCCATCCCCTATTATTTTGGCGTTGAGACTGCGTTTAATAGGGCCACAGATTGTCTGCAAGGAAGGTCGACGAAATAGAACAAAGAGGTAGGCCTATAGCTAGAGAACATCACTGTGCAGTTCAAGATTGATCAATACCGATACCTTTATTACCAAGCCGATTTGATATTAATTATTAATGGTTTTAAATATAAAATGCAAAACACAAAAAGTCTCTATGCGGTGTTAAAACCAGTGTAGGAAATTTTTCTTTTGAAATGTGAAATGATAAAAAACTAAATAAAAACTAGACTTAAACAAATCATAGGGCTGTTCCACATTGCCATAATGAGAAGCGATGTTGAAAATACACACGCACCCACACACACAATTCATTCATATAGTTTAACGTAAAAAATACGCGAAAACAAAAATGAAATCATAATGAGAAAATTATGAAGTTCTAAAAAAATAACTAATTTGACATCAGGGAGACTCGAACTATGACTGCTATTTTATATAATGTATAAAGAACATTATTTTATTGTTCTTTCCATGCACAATAATAACTGTGAGATGTTCAATTATGTACATTTTATAGATGTGTACGTTTTCAATGTGCATATGCCCCCGAGGGGGCATAGATATTAGCACTATACAAAAATTCAGAGACGGACAGATATTTACTTTCTCTATAATAATTGTATCCTACGACTTCTGGATCATTTTTCGATTCGTCTAATAAATAACCGATTTATTTGTTTTAATAAAGTGTCACTCCGATACCGCAAAATATGCTGCTCTGAAACATAAGGCCAATCTCTATAAAATGAACATCGTTTTTTATGGTCCAATCGAAAATCCGAAATTAGGCCTATATACATTGTTTTGATTTGAATGTCATTACATATTTAATAATTGGCTTACTGTGATAGGTAACCATTGCCATGTTTAAAAGTATGGTGGGGCGCAGATTCTAGTGTGGGTAGGGATGTAGCCGGCCGGCCGGGGCCCCACAACTTTTTTTAAAGCCTCGCATTAGAGTGCTAGTAAGAGGGGCCCCGTGGACTATCCAGGGTGCATATCGGCTCGGAACTGGGCGTTTCCCCAACAAACACACAGGCACTACATAACTGATCAAAGCTCCATGTAAAATGTGGGTCGTAGGAAGAGGACCCCCTCCTAATAACTCTGCCAAAGAGTGTGTTTGTGGGATTTTGGTGTATTTATTTATTTAATTATAGAAAATTTATCGAAGGCCCATTGCCGAAGAGTTTTAGAAGAATGATGGGTAGTATTAGGGGCCCCCTGGCCTGTTTTGAGCCCATTTGGACTGGGACAGGGCCCGAGAAAGCACATGCGTTACGCCACTGAAGGCTAGGTAAGGTACTAAGTAGTAGAGGAGGGTCCGGGGCCCCTCCGGGGTCTCCTCGAGTGGAGGCCCGGCTGCGCCCCCGAGAGCTCATTATGGGCGTTACGGTACGTCAGCGTAACTATACATATGCCTAATATTTCCTTGCAAATGGATACGGTTTTTTTTTTTTTTTTTTTTTTTTTTGGTATCATGAAATACCAACAGTATGTGGATTCTATTATCCCTAATGGTAATAAATATTTTTGTTACGATTTAGCGATTCAGGAAAATCAGCGTGTCCGAATTGTAATGAAGAGTTCAACAAAGACGACCTCGCTCCTGATCACTATGCTCGTAGACAAATATTGAAGGCAGTGATATACTGCCCTAACAAGGACCATGGATGTGTCGAGACGTTTTCACTGAAAGAACTTCAGCACTTGGAAAGTTGTCCAGTTTCACCTGTCACTTGTTTACATCATGCAAGAGGATGTGCTACAAAGCTAATGAGAAAGGACTTTAAGAAACATCTACAAACTGAGTGTGAACACCGAGTGGTTGGATGTCAGTTTTGCAAATTGGCCATTCCACATTCTGATATTGAGGTTAGCAGTCCAACATAAATTAATTTATACATGAAGCTTGGAAATAAATATTATATTTTAAAAATATAAACATACATCAAAATATAATGATCTACTACATTTAAAATAAGATTTAATTCTCTTATTTTAGGATCATAAAAAATCCTGCCAAAAATTACCTGCTTCATGTCCAAATGACTGCGGATTAAAAACGATTCCAAAAGACATGACTGAAAAACATCTGCATGAAGACTGCCCTCAACAAGAAAAAAACTGTAAATATCAACGTTATGGATGTGAATTCAAGGTAGGCAATTATCATTTTCTTTTTTTGAAAATCTTGAGTATTAATCTTATGAATTCTACACAGTACACTTTTTGGAAAGAGTAGAGGATTGTCTTTTATAACACGACCTAAATAGATCCTTGTCATTTGAATGGTAGATTTCGTATCACGTGATATTGGCTATTTACACCATTTCGTTACTCATGAAAAATTAGATCCATTGCACGTCTCCTCCTATAATACAATGTGTGCATTTCGTGAAGGAATATCGACTATTCTATTACGAAGAAATGTAGTTAATTACGAGTTAATTTTTGGAAGAAATGTAGGCCTAAATTATTTTTCACAAAATATCAAATGGCAAATATCTATTTTAGATGTGTTATAAAAGGAATAATGAATGTTTTGTATTCGTGCAATGGAAACAATAATTATTTTTATTCGCTGAAAGATTGACTGTTCCATTCAACTTATGAAAATATTCTTCCCATTGCACTCATTAACATTCATTATTAATTTGTATACCATTGTACTGCTTTCACCATTAAAAAGAGCCACTGGAGTACCTTCGGACTTTGTGGTTTATTCATGGTAGTCCACACACACAAACACACACCCACACACACACCTACACACACACCCACACACACACACACACACACACACACCCACATACATGTGAAGGAGCTAAAACCGATGACATTGAAAACATACCTTACAAGTGGTGACATAGTTAATCTTCGTTTTTTTATGTTAAAAATGTGTGTAATGCTATATCTGTGAGTAAGCAAGGGATGTTTAGCAACAGCCCTAACATTGTGTAGGCCATTGCATAACTGAGTACGAGTATGTCACAAGATATCGCTGCTTATTTTTACAACACACAACGTGTGTCTATGAACTTGAAAAAATTCCTAACTAACGGTGACTTTTGAGGAAAAGCTCAGATATTTCACCAGGTGGTATATAGAGGGAGCTCTCACTGTTTAAAGCTATTTTGAGAACTGGCGACGTCATCGCTTGCGAGCATGTCATCGCTAAACAGGTGTGTCTTCACAGGTGTGTCATCGGTTGGTATGGGTTCACCAGAGCACCCACCACACACACACACACACACACCCATAATAAAATTGAATAGACTTAGGATATGCAAATTAGTAATACAGTATTCATTTTTTCCGCATATATCGTAAGTTGTGATTGGTTTATTCTTCACTTTTCCCCTTGTAGTTACGAGTTTGTGCTTACATGCATACTGGGATATAAAAATATAATTATGTAAGTGCCAGAAAAATAATATGTAAGGGACATAAGTGTAACTGTAGGTTGTACTGGTTGTTAAGATGTTTGCTTTTCAACCCAGGGTCTTGGGCTTAAACGAGATACAAAGATTTAAATGTCATGTTGTTTGATGTTAACAAATTTCAAATACTAATTAACTTGATATTGTCATTTAATACATTTACAGAAACACTTTTCAGGAGATGTAGATAAGTTTGAAATGTTGGAAGAAAAAATGAAAACTACTGCTGATAAAAATGACGTTAGAGAACTTCGACAGCTATTTACATCCCTTCCAGCTTCCAAATTACCAAGTATGTATTTTAATTTTTTAGTGAAACGTCCATTAATAATATTTTTATATGTTACTATTTTAAAGCTTATATCTTAAGTGAAAAATAAAAGTTTGTAATTTTCTATTTTTTGGGCTGTGGCAGTGGTGTGTGGAAGTATGTTGAACAACATAAAACCTAACTGTGTTTGATTATATTCGTAACATTTTAGCCCAAGTTCAGCTGACCAAGTTTGAAAGGGAAATGGATATTTACTTGAAACTTTCGGACCAAGATTTAAGATATCAACTCCTGGAAACCGCTAGTTACGACGGTGTGTTACTGTGGAAAATCTCCGGAATACGTCGACGGAAGCAAGAAGCAGATAGTGGAAAAGTAGTATCCTTGTACAGCCAGCCGTTCTACACCAGTCAGTATGGCTACAAAATGTGTGCAAGGATATATTTGAATGGGGACGGGATGGGGAAGGGGACTCATGTGTCCCTCTTCTTTGTGGTCATGAAAGGAGATTATGATGCTCTTCTACAATGGCCCTTCAACCAAAAGGTAAACGAATATATTTTGCAAAAATATGAAATTGTAAGTCCGGTGAACCATCTAACGGTAACTTTCATTGAAACAATTGAATATTGAATATTTTTTTTAAACTGTATAATTATGGCAACATGTCGCAGTTAGTTAATTAAGCCATAATTATACAGTTTATAAAATATATGTATACCACAATGCTCTTAATTTGAAATGGAAAGTTTAATTGTTTCCCCAACTTCTTTGTAGGTAACAATGACTCTGCTTGATCAAGAGACCGGTAAACGCAGCATTACAGATTCAATTAAGCCCGACGGCCGAAGTAGCAGTTTTAAACGACCAACTGGCGACACGGACATTGTTTCTGCAGGGTGTCCTCTGTTTGTGGCACAACAAATCCTCAAAGACTCCACTTACGTCAGAGAAGATACAATGTTCATAAAGATGATCGCTGATACATCTGACCTCTATATGTAACGGGTATCATTAGGATTTCGTCAACCTGTTACTGTAAAAAATCTATTTCATCAAAGAACACTGCTTTTGACGTGGGGACGTGAAAAACCACGCTCCTAGTCCAGATATCCGCAACGATATCACAAAAATGAGAGCAGGTCATCGCCAAATTGCGTCAGCGTTATCGTCAAACAGCTGAAAAAGACTGCCACTGTTGTTATGGACATTAAAATCTATAAAGAGGAGGAGTCCTTAAAACAATTTAATTATCCTCTTCACTACTGTAAACTCACAGAGGACCCCATTTCAGAAATTTCTAAGGAAGTAAACAAATCTCTATGATTAAAACAAAAGATTCTATCAATCCCAAAATTGGACCCCATCTTATCCAGGTCGATCTGGCACTAGGACGTTTCTATGTCCTACCCAAAATCTACAAAGCAGCCCATTCTGGTAGACCAATCATTTCGGGCAACGGTACTTCTACAGAAAAAATCTCTGAATATGTGGATGATTATTGAGATCATATGTTGTTTCTCTCCCCTCGTACATTCAAGATTCCACGGACTTTATCTGCAAAATTAACCAAATTTCAAAGTTACCTAATAATACTGTTCTGGCTACACTTGATGTTTCGTCATTATATACTAATATCCCTCGTGTAGGAATCGAGGTTTATTTTTAGAAAACTAAAACAACTATTTAATTTGCCGAACTTTGCACCACATTTATTTCAGTAAAATGTTCTCCAGATTAAGGACGATAACTCAGGAATGTTATGTCAGAAGGCAGTGGTATACCATGAGGTTGGATAAAAGTGGCTAAACATTTGTTCTCAATTCTTATATTTGTTCCTACTCCACTCTTCATCATAACTTGATATCCCTTCTTGTAGACTCAAAAAGAATCTCGACACGATATTTTACTATATCTCCAAATAGGCCTAGTTTCACTTACAGAATCAATTCAAGACTCGTCCCATTAATCAGCAAATATTAATCACAATAGGCTTAACAAGAAATAATAGATAATAAGCAATTAGTATAGCTCCACCTAGTACACTATAGGAAAATTATTATACGAAGTTTAGATTTAATGCTTTAATGCCATTCATTTTCAACCAATTACAGGCTTAGAATGGCGCGAACGGGGTCATAATGAAAGCGCCGTTAACGTGTTAAATTAAAGCGCCGTAATCATATAAAAACCAATCTCAGGCCTAGAATGACGGCATCAGGGTCATAAATGATTACGGCGTTAGCTTGTTCAATAAAATGTATTTCAAAATCATCATAAAACAGTTGCCAAGTACCTATGTCAAGAAATACTTAAGGGTACACGATAGGCATAGTCCATTCAGAAGCGGTCCAATAATATTAATAGTGTTTGATGATATGCAAACCATAACGAAAGAACAGCGACGGAATAGCGAAGAAGTCCAAAACAAAGTTATAAAATATAGAAGCGAATCCAACTTGAGCAGGAATGGCAAATAGCGATTCAAGTAAATCGTCAGTCAAGAAATCAAAACGTCCATCAGAGGTAACACCATCAACCATCCCATGTCGATCAAACATGGGCCTGGGTATTCCTCCAGCATATATCTCGAAACTTGTAACAAAAATGAAAAATACTCCAGCTAACTAAACTTAACTTTAGATTGGGAACAGCAGCCTACCCGATCTCTATTTAGAGTCAGTTCGATCAGAGCTGAACGGTGTAGACTCTGCCCCATTTAAGTTAGTGTAGAATTATGTTGGTACAGTACTCTAAAGGAATAGCCAAATGGCCAGAGCCACAGCCCTCAGGCTGAGCTACCGCTCTCCTCTCACTGCACTGGATTTCTTTGTGACTCCTGGCAATCAAACTGTTCAGAGTGTTTTAAAGAAGGACATGACTCCTCCTTGTTCTCGTCTTAACGTATTCCATTGGTTTATTACTTTTATTAATCATGAGAAAATTTAGTTCTTACTGGTTCCTAGTATTGGTTAACACCCCTAAGTCACTTTCTATTCGCTATCTTGGTTCCAGTCATCCATCAAGTTTAGGTGGACAGGAGACTTCCCTTATAGGACCACAGGAATGTACAATTCAATTCAATTCAATTCAATTCAATTAACATTTATTCAATTAATTAATCAAATACATCAAATGATAAATAAAGTGGACAACATTAAAATTAATTAATTAGGATAAAAAATAGAAGCGAAGCTTGTCTCAATTTGACCCCGACAAATTTGTCCATATAGAGTCAGCTAAGCGCACACAACGTGAGGTATTGCCACTTATAAGTAAAGTTCATGGGCTCCAAAAAACAATAATAAATGATCATAGCCTAGATACATATACACATACATATATAAAATAAAATATTTAAATAAAGTTAAGATTGGTACATTTCTAAATAATATTTCTTCATTTGCTTTCTAAAAGTGTGGGTACTATGGCAATTTTTAAACTTAACATGAGTATCATTCCATAATTTCGGTCCGTATACAGAAATAAAAACTTGGCTTTTGGTTAGTTTTACAAAAGGAACGTAAAGTGAGTTTGCATATTTTAAGCAATAACTATGTATAGGTTTATAATCATGAAATAAAGCTAATATAGAGATTAGGAGTTGGCCTTTTATGTATTGAAACATAAACATAAAACTTGTAGTTTGTTTAGATCCATAATTAATATGTTTTTTAAACAGAGGTTCCGAAGACGATGCAAATGAAGCTAAATCAATAATTCTGACAACACGTTTTTGTAGCTTAAGTAATCTATCCAGGTTCTAAGAATAGTCACAGGCCCATATTAAGTTACAATACTGCAAATAAGGGAGAATAAGAGTATTGTATAAAGTAATTAAAGTGTTGCGTGGGAAGAATAACTTAAGCCTGTTTATTATGCCTATTGATTTTGATATTTTGCTTGCAACATAGTTTTGGTGTAATTTCCAACTTAGATTTTCATCAATGAATACTCCTAGAAACGAAGTATTTGATTTACGTTCTATAGGATTTTCATTAAAAATAATGCTAAAGTTTGAAAAATTTACTTTCTTATGGTGTGAATGAAATAAAATATAGTTAGTCTTTTGAATATTAATTAGGAGCTTATTTGCATTGAACCAGGAACCAATTTTTTAAAACTCATTATTAAACGTATTGAACAAAACATTGAGGTCTTCATTAGAATAAAAAAACGTAAAAAACGTAGTATCATCGGGAAGGACACCAACTGGAGGGTGTCACTAATTCTACACAAGTCATTAACATATATTATGAAAAGTAACGGCCCCAAGACCGACCCTTGTGGCACCCCACAAGTTACATCCCTCGTCGATGATTTACATGATCCAACAGAAACAAATTGTTTACGATTATTCAAATAACTTATAAACCATTTTAAAGCAATACCTCTAATACCATATCTAAAAAGTTTGGAAATTAAAATTTCGTGGGTAACAACATCAAAAGCTTTTGATAAATCTAAGAATAAACTTAATAGAAATCGTTTATTTTCAAATGATTTAATAATGTTATTAACGAGTTCAAGTATTGCATGACAGGTTGAGTGATTCTGACGAAATCCATATTGATGGTGATTTTGATGTTAAGATGTTAAATTGATTTAAATAATTAAATAGTCTTTTATGCTTAAGTTTAAAAAAGTTAAGTAACTATTTTTGAAAAGATAGGTAGTATGGATATTGGTCTATAATTTGATAGTGTATCAGTGTCGCCTTTCTTAAATACGGGAATGACTTTGGCCATTTTTAAAGTATTTGGAACTGTACCAGATGAAAAAGATGAGTTAATGGCGAATGTTAGTTGTTTAATGATGATTTGAGATACACATTTTAGGGTCCTAGGAGATAAGTGGTCATAGCCAGCACCTTTATTAGTATCTATATCATGAATTACTGCAAATACATCAGATTCAGTGACGGGTTTAATAAAAAATGAATTAGTAGGCGACATTGGTAGGAACTGTAAAGGATCAATATCAGAAGCTGGTAAAGATTTGTTTATATCTGGGCCAATGGAGGAAAAATAATCATTAAAGTAGTCACAAATAGATTTCTAATTATTAATTATTTTATTGTTGATTTTTAAAACTTTAATTTTGTTAATATTCTTTTTGTTCGGATTAATAACTGAATTTATTATATTCCATGTACGTTTGATTGCCTTTCACCAGATCAAATTATTTTCGTTTATAATAATTAGATTTGGCAGTACGACAGAGACTATTGTAGATGTTATTGTATTTAGTGTAGTTTCATTTGTGTTTAGAACTTTGCGAAAAAATATATTTTGTATATAATTTGTGTTTTCGTTTACTACATTTCAGGAGTGAAGAGCTCATCCAGGGTTGTTTATGAATTTTGTTTTTCTTTATTCGACTAGCGTTTAAATGCTTACTATGAACGGAAAAAAATTTGTCAAGAAAGATATCAAAAGAAAGTTTTGGGTCACTATTGTAAACATCGGACCAGTCAACTTGAAATAAATTATTGCAAAAGGAATTCATATCGTTAATAACAAAGGAGGAGCTTTCCTGGGTTTTTAGTTTGTCTAGATCATTATCAATAAACTGGAAAATAGGCAAATGATCAGTGATATCAGAAACCAGAACACCAGAGACTATACTAGATTCAGTTTAATATAAAAGTGGTCTATTAGTGTTGCAGTGTTTGAAGTAATACAAGTTGCTTTGGAAACAGTTGGATAGAATGAATGAGTTAAAATAATATCTAAGTAATTATTGGTTATGTTATGATTGTGGTATTTAAGCAAATCGATATTAAAATCTCCCATAAGATGGCATATTTTATTTTCCGTATTAATTTTAGTTAGTAATTCATCAATATGTTTAGAGAAACTAATATGTTTGTACAAGGAGGTTTGTATACAGTGCCAATAATTATGTTTTCTTTGTATTAAGTATTATTTCAATAAGTATAGAATCACCAAATTCTTTCGGGAGGGCAAGATCAGGGCGAAGACGAACATTAAATTAATTACTAATGAATAATCCCACCCTCCACCTACGTGTGATTGTCTATTACTTGCGAAAAAGG